CAGCAAAGAAATCAGAAATATTTTCTACATATGCAGATAACCAGGAAGGAGTATTAATTCAAGTATTTGAAGGGGAAGCATCAATGACATCACATTGTAATTTACTTGGAAAATTTGAATTAACAGGAATACCACCAGCACCACGAGGAGTTCCACAAATAGAAGTTACATTTGATATTGATGCAAATGGAATATTAAATGTAACAGCAGAAGATAAAACTACAAGAAAGAAGAATAAAATTACTATTACAAATGATAAAGGCAGATTAAGTAAAGAAGAGATTGATAAAATGATAAGAGAAGCATAGAAATATAAAGCAGAAGATGATGAGAATAAAGCACGAATAGAAACAAAGAATCAAATAGAAAATATGTGTTATTCAATGAAGAATAGGATTAAAGAAATGGGAGATAAAATAAGTTCAGAAGATAAAAAGAAAGCAGAAGAAATAATAGAAAAGAATTTAAGATGGATTGATAATAATCAAAATGGAAGTAAAGAAGAATATGAGAAGAAAAAAGAAGAAATGGAAAAAGAAATAGGAAGAATTTATTCAAAAATATATCAAGGAAGAGGAAGTAATGAATTTACAGGAGGAAGAAATACAGAAAAAGAAAATAATAATAAAGGACCAACAATTGAAGAAGTTGATTAAATAAACAAGCAAAAGAAAATATGTAAAAATTAATAAAAAATAATTAAATAAATTAATTAAAAAAATGGTTAATATAATAATAAAAAATTGAAATAAAAGTAAATAAAATTTTAAATAAATATATAAACTAAGAAAAATAATAATTAAATTGTTATTATAAAATATTTGTATTCATATTAATAATTTATTTTATAATTTAATTTAATTAATTGATTAAATTTATTATTATTAATTTATTAAATTTTCATTTTTTATAAGAATATTAATCATTTAATACTATTATATTAATCTAATAAATATAATTTAATAATTCATATATGAATTGATTGTTAATAATCATTAATTATATAATTTATATGATTATTATATTAAATAATTTATTAATAATATTATAAATATAATAAATTTAAATGTATTTAAATATAATAATAAAGAATTTTATTATTAATTGAAAATATTAAATGAAAATTAAATTTATTAACAAAATTAATTATATAATAAATTTAGTAAAAGTATATCATTTATATAATATTAAATTAATGAATAAAAAATAGAA